TTATTTTTAATAACAATGTTTCTTAAAAAAACAATTATAATTTAATATGTACTATTGCGCAATAACAACAAGAGATTACAAGCATAAATACATCAACCTTCTACCCTAACACCATTCATACTCTGAAACACCCCTAAAAATATCCCCCTGGATTCTATGCAAATGGAACACTATCTGGGGAGAAAAAAAAAAGTTTTTTAATATTAAACATAGCACGTTAATATAGAAAGATTTTTTTTTTATAAATACATATGGCAAACAGTCTCACATACCAGTGGTTAAAGGTAAAAACTACACGTTAAATTCTTCTCTAAAGAACAGTATCCTGGATCCTACCTGCTCCTACCTAAGAAAAGGCTAGAAAACAGCCTGGCTAAGTCCGGAGCACAGCTATAAAACAAGCTATGCACACAGGACTGCAACTATTACAAAGGGGAAAAGAAAACGAATTAAAAAAAACTAGTGACAGGATTCTTCAAATTCAACCCCAGGCAGACAACTGGGCAAGAAGGTCCCCAAGTCTTGTTAGGAAACTTTGTCAAGTGAACCAGAGCGCAAGTGTCCTTGGCTCATGCAACGATCACGCCCTTTAATTTCGTTGTTCCTGACTACACTCTTTTACTTTCAACAGCTTTTCTAAAATCCTCATCATTCTCCAATGGATTTATTCTTAGACTCTTATTTAGATTTATAAACAACCCCCAAAATAAGAGAGAAATAAAGACTGATCGCAGGGAGGATGCAATCAATTAAAAGCAAGTGACTACCAAAAACAAAGATAAAACGAAAATCAACTTGAAAATCAAAATGAAAAAACTGAAGTTTTTGTGATTCCCTAAGAGTGACACATAACAACACTACAACACTTTAGCTATTAAAAATACGAGCAGGTGGAACTTAAGAAGCACTTTGTACACTATAACGTCGGTATTTGAATATCTAACAGGAAAACAGTGGAAATAGAATTGTCTGGGTATAGGATCCCAAGAATCAACAACTAATTTGCTTTCATGAGGAAAGTAGGTATGTCCGGTATCATGCTAGGGCTAAAGCCATAAACATGTACAAGTTTAAGTATATTTCTGTGTCTGTTACCCAACAAACTCTGAGCAATGTTTTGAAAAGAAAAAAAAAAGCTTCACACACTTAAAATAGAAATGTAAATCAGTTTATTGAGAAGACCAGCATAACAGACTGGCTTAGAACACAAGTTTGGTTGTCACAAAGAGCTGAGTTTAAAAAAAAATCCAAAATCACAAATTATTGTATGACCTTGAAACAACCAAGTCACCTACACCTCAACCTTCTCATTTGTAAACTGAAGGCCAAATATCCCTCAGTCATTAAGAGAATGAGAAAAGGAGATCATGTAAAGTAAAGGTCCCCCAACTTATCTGGCTTACCTGTTTCCTTTTCAGAAACAAAATTACTCAGCGTACCCCTAGAAACCTATCTTCTCCAAGCAGACAAACGGAGAGTTCCTCAATCCCCCCTCCAGGGCAATCCCTCTCCCATCCCCTATCTGCAAGTATCCCCTTACCCCCAACACCGATGGAAGACTTTAGGTCCTGTCTGTGGCACAGAGTAAATAAGCAACAATAATAATAAGCAAACTGTACAATTAGCAGAATAACTTATCTTTCAACCTCAACTGAAGGGACAGAGCCTTGCAAGGCTTAAAGGGTAGTTTGCCTTGCACAAGGCTGGCCCAAGTTTGTTCCCAAGCATCTCATATGGTCCCCAGAGCTTGCCAGGTGTAATTCCTTAGTGCAGAGCCAAGAGTAACCCCTGAGCACCGTTGGGTATGGCCCCTAAACAAAACAAAAACAACCTCCACTCAAGTTAAGTTTCCAAGTAGTCAGGCAAAAGTTGCAGTCATTTGAAAGACATGAATAAAGGAAGCTTTTCGTTTCTTTTCCAGGTGTAGGATCTATCCCCCTCTTTAGTCAGGAAAACTCGAGCTAATGATGGACAGCTACAGACAGAAAAGGCTTCAGTACAAACATTCTTAATTGGGAAGAAGGATTTTCCATGCAATCTGGATCTAATCCAGTCTGGGGAGTTACAACTGGTACTGTTAGGAGAAAGAAGAGAGGAAGAAAAAGCCTTCCAACCAAATGTATCATTACTCAATAAAGAGAAGCAATATAAAGTTCAGAGATTCCCATTAGTTCATAATTTAAAATATGAAGGGGGAGAAGGGGAGAGTTGGTACAGTAAGGCACTTGCCTTGCACATGGCTGACACTGGTTTGATCTCTGGCACCACATATGGTCCCTTGAGCATGTCCAGGAGTGATCACTGAACACAGTCAGGAGCAATAAGTCCTGAGCACAATCTGCTATGACCCCCCTCCCAAAGTAAAAAGGGTCTGGAGAGAGAGCTCAACAGGAAGAAGGACATGCTTTGCATGCAGAAGGCCAGGGTTCAATCCCTGGCACCACATAGTCCTCTGAGCACAGCCAGAAGTGAACCCCCAAGTGCTGAGGAGGAACAGCCTCTGAGGCACCTGGGTATGTATGGCCCATGAACCCCCCCAAAAAAATGTGGAAAAATTCAGGTGAAATATTTTAAAGTGTACAGGAAAAAAGAACAGCTAACAAAAAAAAAAAAAAAGAAACAAAGAAAAGAACTGTTCTGTTAGTAAGGTTACAATGATCAAACCCATTCAAAAAATCTTGAAAGGAAAGTTGAAAAAAATCAGTATACCTAGAATTTAATACACAACCACTCCATGTCTTATATTTCCCTCACAACCACCCAGCTGCGTCTGCCCTTCTGAATGTTCCACTGATTTACAGGTACTTTTAAGTTATGCTATTCTGTTAACCAAATACATCATTCCAACGAAAGGCAAAAATGAAATCTCATGCATTATAACTTTTCCAAAATGGATGGGAAAACCTTAGTGATTCAATCAGAATACATTTCTCCCCCCCCCCAAAAAAAAGTAATACTGAGGGGGTAAGTCTCTCGTGAAAATAAGCCAGTCCTAGGAAAAAGCAGTTCAAGGACAACCAAAGACAAACTACAAAATAATGCAAATTTTGAATTTTGGAGTTAGGACAGGGCTACTCAGTTGTAAGATAAAGAACAATTTTCCCAAGGAAGTAAGTACAGAAGCAAAAATTTCAGCAGGGATGATCCTGCAGTCAATCCCCAGTATACTTACAAATTTTTTTTTAATGGCAAAAATTATCTATGCTGGCTCTCAAGAGGTTAACAAGAGATAAAAAGCAATACTGTACTTATTTCAAAGAGGTTTCTAAACCCTGCAAGTTATCCTATTGTATTACAAATATGACAGCAAAATAAGTGACTGGTCAGATGCTCTAATTAAGGGCTTAGCCCTGAAAGAGTAATGACACCCCCAACAGAAGCTCTATCCCCTGCAGATAATGGCCATTTTCTTTTGACTGTTTAAGAATCCAGGGGAATCTGGATTCTGCTTTTAAATGCAAATTGCCCATCTCCAAAGTACATTCTGCTCTATTCCTCTATCTGAAAATTACTGCAATGTGATTCTATTCCAGATAGGAGACCATATTCAGCCAAGAAATGAGAAATAGGACAACCAGACGTATCATGAGTATGTTGAGATCAGCACTTCCCATGAGAAACCACCCTTTATACATGAAAGGACTTCCAGGGAAGGACCCTCATGTGACTAAAATTAATTTTGAGGATTGTCAGGTTGCAGTCTCATTTCAGCACATGCATTGAACATGCATTCAACACAGCAATTTAGAAAAAATTTTAAAAACCAGCATCCCTTGGTTTTCAAATAACCACACTATCTACTAGAAACTTTTTAAAAGGCAAAAATGCAGCAATAACAGTCTAAAGTGCTGTGGATCTGTTTGTTACATGTTCAAACAAACAAAAATAAAATAATAAATACCACAAGGAGAAAAAGGTGAGCACTCCAGCCTCTGCACTGTGGAACCAATGAGCGCTGCCTTGGAGAAACACCTCAATTTAAAGTGCCAGGCAATCGCATTTGAAAAAAAGATACTTTCAAGCCAGAAAGACTCAAGAAATATGCCAGAATAGACGGATTCATCTCACTGTTGGAGGTTCGTGCTTTCTGCCAAAACCACACTTAGCTTGGGAAACTTGATTTGTTGTCAGATAAATATAAACAAATGGTGAAGATGATCAAACTAGAAACAGCCTCATAGAAGATCAGCTTGCCTCTAGTTTGTCCAACTGATACATTACTAACTTTAGTTTTTTTAACATAAAAAAAATAAAAACCCAAACACCTCTTTTGTAACTAAGGCAAGTCACAGCCAAATGACTGGGACTTTGTGTGAATGTGATGACTGGCTATACCCCATCCCATCCCCTATCTTTGCTGGAAGGCAGCCCCCCACTGGCTCCCCACACACAGGATGCCAACCAACAGGCACCAGGAGCTATTGAAAATGCACTTCTCAAAAAAAAAAAAAGTCAATGAATTACTTAGGAGAAGAGAAAGGGTCTGTATCATTTTGAAACGCTGTTTCCAAGTGCCTGCGATTTGGTACAGCAACCGAAGAGAGCACGCCGCGACATCAGCGGGGCCCCTCTCACCTCCCCATGCAGAACCCGGGCAACGAATGCAGACGACAGAACCCCCTGCACGCACACAGAGACCAGAGCGGCCCCCTCCCGCGCAGGGTCGGAGTGGGAGGGTCTCAGACGCCGAAACCGGGAAGCGGGTTTTTGGGGGTTTGGGAGTTTTGGGGTTTTTTCCCCCTCCTTAAATACTGGAGGAAAAGCAAGGGTTGGCCGTCGTCGGAGCGTTTTCGAAAGAACCCAGAAGCAAGCGCTCACTAGTTCAATCCGTCCCCCCAAATCCACGCCACCCTTTCAACTTCGCAATTAACAGGGAAGGAGAAATCCCGGTCAACTCGCCTTGGGGGGGCTCGGGGCTCGGGGCGAGAACTTCCCGGAGGGAGGAGGATCGAGGGAGCCGGGGCAAGCCAATGACGGACGGGGAGCGCGCAAGTCCCTACCTTTCTTAAACTCCTCCAGCATCGCGTCCAGCTTGGTGTCGTTGAACACGAAGTGCAAGGGGTGGTTGTAGAACTTCGTGATGGTCTTCAGGGGCGTGCAGTCGTCGGGATCCACGAAGGCGAGGTCCTTGACGAAGAGGAGGTCCACGATGTTGGAGCGCTCCCCCTCGAACACCGGGATGCGGGTGTAGCCGCTCTCCATGATCTCCGACATGGTGTTGAAGTCCAGGATGGCCTCGCCGGTGATCATGAAGCAGTCCCGCAGCGGGGTCATCACGTCCTCCACCGTCTTGGTGCGGAGCTCCAGCGCCCCTTGGATGATGTTCAGCTCCTCCTTCACCAGGTCGTTGTAGGGGTCGGTCACCCGCAGCATCTCCAGCAGCTTCTCCCGGTTGTACACGGTGCCGATCTCCTGCCCCAGGACGCAGTCCAGCAGCTTGCTCACCGGGTAAGACGCGGGGAAGGTCATCATCATGAAAAACTTGGTGAGGAAGATGGTGTTGGCCCCGACGGCCAGGCCGTGGCGGGAGCAGATGGCCTGGGGCACGATCTCCCCGAAGATGACGATGCCGATGGTGGAGACCACCACGGCCACCAGGCCCGAGCCCGCGATGTCGTCGAGCAGGATGGTGAGGGTGGTGTTGACCAGCACGTTGCCCAGCAGCAGCGAGCACAGCAGGTAGTTGCCCTGCCGGCGCACGGGCTCGATGCGCTTGGCGTAGTTCTTCTCCTTCTCGGTGCCGCAGTTCTGCACGATGCGCAGCTCCATCGGGTCCAGGGCCATGAGCCCCAGGTTGAGGCCGCTGAACATGCCCGACAGGCAGAGCAGCAGCGAGATGAAGATCACCTGCAGCCAGAAGGGCAGCAGGAACTTCTTCTCCTCGCCCACGATCATCTTGGTGTCCTCGCCGTCGTGGTAAATCCAGGTGGTCTCGGCCCAGGGGGGCGGCGGGAGCCCCGCCACGCCGGAGGCGCCCTTGGCCCCGACGGCGCCCCCCGTGGCCCCGGCTCCGCCGGCGCCCAGGGCCGGCGTGGACAGCGACGTGCACAGGTAGTAGGACTTGCTCTTCTCCATCTTGCGCAGCGGCTTGATCTCGATCTCGATGATGCCCGAAGTGCGGCGGTTGAGGATGATGTGGGGCAGGATGATGATGTCCGAAGTGCGGATGCCGCAGCGCTGGGGGCCGCTGTCCGGCTCGGGCGGCGCGGGACCCCCCAGCCCGCGCTCGCCGCCGGGGCTGTGGCGCCGCCGCTCGTGCTCGGTGAAGGCGATGCGAGACCACGTCTCGTTGTTGATGTTCTGCCCGTACACCCGCAGCTTGACCCGGGTCCGCTCGCTCACCCGCAGCGCCCCTCCTTCCATGAACGACACGTCGTTCGTGTCCTCCAGCCGCAGCCCGATGATCACCGTCTCCTCGCTCTCGCCCGCCGCCGCCGCCGCCGCCGCCGCCGCGCCGCCGCCGCCGCCCGCGCCGCAGCAGCAGCTCAGCAAGAGCAGCGGCAGCAGCCGCCCCGCCGCCGCCCGCAGGACCCCCCGGCCGCGGGCGCTGGAGCTGCGGCGCGCCGCCATCTTCCAAGTGGGCAGTGCGGCGGCTACCTGCCCGCCCGCCATCTTTACTCCGGGTTCACAGGCGCCACAGCCAATCATAGGGTGGCTCCTCCAGCTGCCGCTTCATCCTTCCCCGCCGGCGGCGCGAGCGCGGGCACCGGGCCCCTGGGCCGGATCGCGGCGGAGCGTCTGCACCCCCGCGCGCCCCGGCGGTCCGCCTCCCTGACTGACACGGACGCGGCCTCGGCCAGCTGGGAGCCTCGAGGCTCGCGGGAGGGGGCGAGGGGAGGGGAGAGGGCCCGCCGCTCCCGCGAGAGGCAGGCCGGGCAGCCAATCATGGGCGGGCGCCCGGACGCCCGGCCGGGGGGCTCGGATCGGGGGGTGGTCGCGAGCGGCCCCGCGGACCAATGGCGAGGTGAGGGGGTGGGGAGACGAGGGCCGCGGTCCGCCGCGGCACGCCAAGTTTCCTACCGAAAGGCGCGTGACTCTTGTGTATGTGCGAGGGGCGGGGGCGGGGCCAGCTGCGCCCCGGCAGCCAATCGCCGGGCGGCGCCGGCCCCACGGGGGCGGGGCCTCCCGCCCGCCGGCCAATGAGGAGGGGCTTCCCCGCGGCGCTGGCGCTCGGCCGCGGCCTCAGTAGTGGATCCCGGCGCTTGGGTTGGCAAGCTCCGGAGTCCGGTCCCGGGGAGCCAGGGCGCCGGCGCTCGCGGCGCCGCCTTGTCCGCTTCCCGGTGATCGCCGCGGCTGCAGAGACGGCGGCGCCTTCCTGCCCCAAGACGTCGGAGAAGCCCAGCTAGGGACGATTCCAGATACCCATCACATTGACCTTAAAAAAAAAAAAGAGAGAGAAGAGAAAGAAAAGGAAGCCGGCGTCGCAGCGGCGACCCCTACCCCATCCTCTGTCTGTGCGTGTCGCCCCGCCCAGGTTAAGCCAGAACCGGTGGCATCGGTACCGGGACTGACTTCGCTCTCCGGGCGTCTCGAGCTTCTCTCCCAGACGGGCGCGCACCTTTTGCCGTTCGTGGTCATGTGGCACCACCTGCCGGCTTTTTGCGCGCCCTGCAACGCCCGTAAACTAGGGGAGGTGGAAAGGTTAAAATTCAGTAGTTGTCCGGTCTCAGAAGACTCCCTTCCTATTCAGACTGAATTTCTTTGTTGCCTGGATTTGCCCCACATTTACATATTCGTGATCGATTCACGAATCTTTATTTCTAACAGGCCCCCAGCAAGCTTGGGAAACAGGACGGGACCGACATCCAAAGCAGACCTAGAAAGTGGTATAAAATCACTAATCAAACCCTGCCTAGTTCATAGGTGGTTAAGTAAGAAAAAAAAAAAAAAGTCGTGCAGGGGTGAGGAGAGGACAATATGGACTAGCATGCAAGCCGTGCACCCGGCTCCCAGTCACGGGAGTGGTTCCCGGACAATTATCAGGTGTGACCCCTGTCCCCTTTTTTCAAGCCTAGGACTCTTAGGTTCCATGATAGCTTTATACACGAGTTGGCAAGATAAAACCAAATACAAGCACCTGCAGTGCCATTTGCCTTCTGGAAAGGACCTTGAAGATTTTGTGTTTCAGGCTTTCTGACTTGCCTCCTTTGCTAGCTGTTTACCGGACACAGTTACTGGAGTGGGGAGAGGAAGGAAAACATGGAGTTTTGATGCAGTTGTGAGAATAACTCTTTGTCCCTGGAAAAGGGCACACATTCCTGGGGTACTGACTTTTCAGGAGGAGTCGAAGGGCCTCAATGGGCACTGAGACACGTGCCTTTCCCTTGGGTGTAGCCTTGGAGTTGGACGGTACCCTCAACCCTGCTGTCACCACTTCCTGCTGCCACTGTGCCCTGGATCTTCAGGGCTCTTTAGAGAACCCTGTTTCTGTTGCCTGAAGTCCACTGTTTGCTCCACTCCTGGCCCCTGTGGTCCCCTGAGTACCTCCAGGAGTGATCCCTGATTGCAGAGCCAGGAGTAAGCCCTGAGCATCGCTGGGTGTGGCCCCAAAACAAACAAAAATCTCAATTTTTCAGAGATATCTATTTTCTTTTTTAATGAATATTTAGGTTTGGGGCCACACCCAGAGGTGGTCCATGCTTGGGAGTCACTCATGGTGGTGCCTGGGGGAATATGAGGCGCCAGGATCAACCCCAGGGACCCTGGATACATGTCTTTGAATGTTTCCTCAGTCTGTGAACCTATCTCGCCAAGCCTGTTTGTTTTATTTTAAAGATCACTAAAGATTTTAGGCTGGAGTGATAGTACAGGAGGTAGGGCATTTGCCTTGCCCGCGGCCAACCTGGGTTTGATTCCTAGCATCCCATATGGTCCCCTGAGCACCGCTCAGAGTAATTCCTGAGTGCAAAGCCAGGAGTAACCCCTGCACATTGCCAGGTGTGACCCAAAAAGAAAAACAAACAAACAAACAAAAAGATCACTAAAGATTTAACTTACATCTCTCCACGTATTAATACACCACATCTCAAGTCCCTGCATTAAATTTGTTTTTGTTTGGGGGTCATACCTGTGGGTACTCAGGCCACTCCCAGCTTGGAGGTTGAGGAATCCCTCCCAGCAATGCTCGGGGACAATGCAGTGCTAGAGGTAGCACCAGAACCTTCTGTATGCAGAGCATGTGCTCCTGCCTATAGCACTATCTCTTCAGTCTGGTATCTTTGAAGTAAAGTCATTCAAAAATTTTAAATAATTTTAAAAAATAAAGTTATGTCATTCGTTCAACAAACATCTGTTGTAATGTTAGCGTTTTGAGTATATTTGGCAACATGAAACTATTATATTAAATCAGAAATTATCCCCCCAAAATTTCTAGTAAGGAGGTTAAGAAACATGTAGAGGTCATGCCTTGCTTTGCATGGTCTCTGGCACTGCATGCCCCTCCCACAGGGAAGGCCCCTATTAAAAACAATATATATACATATATATATAACAAAATAAAATGGAGGGATTGAGGAAAATCAACGAGCTGGTCCTTGACAAGATAAGTATTTGATATGCAGCCTTAAGAACTTAATCAGCTCCTGTGGCCATTTCAAGACCCCATAGACCATAGACCAGGTGGCTTCAACAATGAGAATATGAGGGCTGGAGAGGTAGCACCGCGGGTAGGGCACTTTCCTTGCTGCAGGAACCTAGGTTTGATTCCTGGCATCTTTTTTTTTCTTTTTGGATCACACCCAGCAATGCTCAGGGGTTATTCATGGCTCTGCACTCAGGAATTATTCCTAGTGGTGTTTGGGGGACTATATGGGATGCCGAGGATCGAACCCAGGTTGGCTGCATGCAGGGCAAACGCCCTACCCGCTGTGCTGTCCCTCCGGTCCATGATTCCTGGCATCTTTTACAGCCCTTTGACCTCTGTCAGAAGTGATCCCTGAGTGCAGAAGCAGGAATAAGTCCTGAGCACCACCAGGTGTGGCCTGAAAAAAAAAAAAAAGGTGAGGGGCTGGGGGGAGGGGCAAAAAAGGCTGGAAATAGGTTTGCTTAGTCTGGAAGAGAGAGGTGCCTGGTGATGGTTCCAGCACGGGTGAAAGCCCTTTCTAGCTGACAGTGTGACCCTATTTCCTCCTCCCAGTGCATGGTCTTAGAGTGTGGCATTGCTATTGTCACCTCAGAAAAGTACCCCTCCCCTAAGGTCAGGGCCCCCCAACCACCTCACCTCACTTCACCTTAACTACTTCCTCAGGGGGTCTTCTCCAAATAGTCACATGTGGGTGAAGGCCTCAACCTGTGAACTGGGTAAGGGATCTCAAACAGTCATCTGGAACAAAAGGGTTAAAGGAGAAGAGAGAAGAGGTTTGGAACTTGGTCCAGCCACCACAGGAAGAAGATTGGAAAGGTGACTGGCAGTAGCATGTGGTGGTTGGAATGCCAAGTTTAGATGGAGTCTGATTTCGGTTTCATTCTACAGGCAGTCAGGAGCTAGAACAAGAGGCACGTGCCAGAGCTGGGTGATAGAAAGGTTAGCTGTCTGGTCCCAGTGTGGTGTAGCTGAGCCTTGCTGATTTAGAGAACACCTGACACGGCTCAAAGGAAAAAATATCCTTCATGGTCTTCAAAGCATCTGTTCATCTGTCATCTTGGTCTGACCTTTCCAATAGGACTAAGAGCTGTATCACTTTTTTTTTTTTTTTTGCAACATACCCAGGGATGCTCAGAGGTTACTCCTGCCTCTGCACTCAAGAATTACTCCTAACGGTGCTCAGGAGACCATATGGGATGCCAGGCCAGCCGCAGACAAGGCAAGTGCCTTACCCGCTGTACGATGGCTCCAGGCCCAGAACTGCATCACTTCTGCATCTCAGATTGGACAAGATGATGGGAACAAAGACAAGACACCACGCCCTCTCTTCAGGCTCCACACCTGATACATAGCCACCGCCCTGTGGTTTGTGTGGTGATTGTGACTCAGATCAAAGAGATGATATCCTGGGTTGCAGCCTGGACCTGGGCGCAAAGGACTGAGGGCATAATTCGCATGCAGGAGTCAGGGTTCAGTCCTCATTATTCTCCATCCCCTAAAACTTTCAGGAGCAACCCTCATGCATCTTTCCTGGGTTAGCCTCCAAGCACCACGGGGTGTAGCCCAAAACACAACAGTAAGATTTGCCTGGGCTGGGAGAATCTCACATAGTAGTAATGCATTTGCTTAGCATGCATGATGCCTGAGTTCAACCCCAGTCCTAAAAAAGGAAGGAAAAAAAAAGAGTTCCTCGGTTGGCTTGGGCTACTGCTGATAGCTGGACGTCCAGTCATGTTCTTTAAAACATCTGAAAAAAGGGGGCAGGAGGGGAGGCTGGAGTGATGGTACAGGGGTAAGTCATTTGACGTGCATGCAGCCAACCAGAGTTTTCTCCCCAGCACCACAGATGGACTCCTGAGCACTGCCAGGAGTGATCCCTGAGCACACCTGGGTGTAGCCCCAAAACAAAAACAAAACATTAAAAAAAATGGGGGAGGCCATTCCCGGGAGACATGGCTGAAAGGCTTGATGCCCAGCACCGCATATGAGGCCCCGCACTAGCAACTACAAAAATAAATACACATCAAAGTATATAAAACAAAGCTATAAGAGAGGAGACGGGGACTGGAGCAATAGCACAGCGGGTAGGGCGTTTGCCTTGCACACGGCTGACCCGGGTTCGATTCCCAGCATCCCATATGGTCCCCTGAGCACTGCAGGGGTAATTCCTGAGTGCAGAGCCAGGAGTAACCCCTGTGCATCGTCGAGTGTGACCCAAAAAGCAAAAAAAAAAAAAAAAAGAGGAGCCGACATCATCTGCAATATAATCCATCTGGGGGATGAAAACAAAAATAGTTCAACTACTAAGTAACCTGGTTCCAGCAGGGGCAGTCCTGTTGATGTTAGAGCAATTTAGAATGTGAAGGAGAACTATGCCCTAATTAAGAAAAACCCTGGGGCTAGAGCCATAGCACAGTGGGTAGGGCATTTGTCTTGCACGCAACCAACCGGGGTTTGACTCCCAGCATCCCATATGGTTGAGCACCACCAGGAGTAGTTACTGAATGCAGAGCCAGGAGTAACCCCTGAGCTTTGCCAGGTGTGATCCGAAAAGCAAAAAAAAAAAGAA